ATAGGAAGCAAGGTTAGAACCAAGAGGGTTATGAAGTTTATTATGGAAGGATAGGTATCTGGATTTGGAAAAATCTGATACATAAAGAACATTAAGTTCATTGTGGATGATTTTATTTGTAACAAGGTAAGGAGATTGAGGATTTTACGAAGGATTTTGGATTGTAAGGATTGGATACGAGAGGAATCCGATGGTTTAGTGGAGCCCAAGCTCAACTCCATAAGTCCAAATAGGCCTTATTATAGTCATCTACATGAGTCTTTTGTAATTAATTGGAAGGTTAGAGCGTTTGTCTAGTAAGTGTTGAAGTAGACGGAAACATCGAGCGGTTTCTTGTCGTTTCGGTCTGGTATGAAGATTCCAAGTTAGACGTTTGTCCAGGTGGAGTACTAGGTAACGGATTTGTTCAACAGGAATAAGTGAGGTGTTGTTAAAGGATACTGAAGGATAGGAAGTCATTGGTTTACGAAGGGTGAAGGTAATTTGATGGAATTTATTTTAATTCTCCAGTTTTGACACCATTCTTCAAGGTTTGTGGTGTGTGATTGAAGAGTTTGGGATGCAATTGATGGGTCGTTATAAACTGATAGGATACATAGGTCATCGGCATATGTGGTGATGATAGTGTTGGGATATATAGTTATATAGACTGTGTAAAAGATAGAACCTATGATACTACCTTATATCTTATTTTGAGAGAAAAAAATAATTATTCATCTGTTTTATATCCGGTTAACCCGGAGAGCCATTTAACGGACTTCTACTGTAGATATTTAATAGAAAATTTATTTCTTATTATGATGGTATCAAAATTATTTTTCTGAGACTTATAGATCAGTATTGCTAGAGTTGTTTTTGTTTTTTTTTCGAAAAAACGATTTTCAACCACTGGGACTGCGTCACGTCAAGGTACAATTTTGAGTAATAGCGCATTATAACGAAGATAATATTCTGAACATTTCCCTTGCTTACAGTACGCAAGTCAGATTTTTAGTATCTGAGATATTTTAATCCAAATTCAAAAACAGTTGAAAAGCTCACTGGCTTGCTTAAAGTAGATAACAGCCCTCAGATTTCATGACCATATAATATTCATCTACTTATTGCCAGTGGTATCAACTTATATATTTTTCTATTTTCATCAAACATTTAAACATGGATTATATAATAATAACTTTCCTTTATTTACTTCTTATCTTGGTGAAGATATCGAGAACACGCCACGATTAAATGCTTGTAGTTTTTATTTCACCGTTTTTTGTCCGAGAAAGCCAACGTTCAACATAATATTTCAAGTACATGTTTTTAGACATATTTCACTCTGTTTTTAAATTAGATTCGCCAATTAACAATGGTAGAAAATTAATTAATATATTTCGAGAATTCGTTTTTATGTTTAATTATATTATATTAGATTAAACAGTTCCTAAGCCACTATTTGTTTCGTTTTTACTCTTGGTTAAGTAGACTTAAGCTGCTAAGTAGCGTAACTGTGTGGATAATAATTAAAAAAGAAATAATAAAATCTAGTAATTATTAAATTTATTTCTAATTGATCGATGGATATTATTTATCTATTTTATACCGATTTATAGTTATTAAAACAATTCTACAAAATGCAAACTACAAAAGTATTTTGTGTACTTTCGTTTTATGTTGCTTTATTTTTAAGGAAAAAGCAATCTGCTGTCCAGTGCTATAAATCTTTTCTTTTTCTTCTGATAACGACAGTCACTATCTGCACTCAGGAAAAAAATAGGGACTACTTACTACGAAAGAAAGAAAGTACGTACTTGCAAGTGATATCCAGTCCAAGCATTTTTTTTTTTTTTTTCACAACACCTTAAAAATCCACAGCCCATAAAAATGTGTACCTCTTGTGTACGGTGGGTCAGACGCCCCTACCGTGCACCTTTTCTACTCCCCCTCCCCACCGTGCATCCCTATAAATTGTATATCGTTGTGTTCCTTGTAACCATTTTAAAACAAAAAAAAAATATGTTCCCACAAAAAAAAGTGAACGAACTGCCCCAAAATGGCATCCGAACATAGCGGACTGGCCACTTCGACTTTAGTTACTTTTTTGTTCACTGAGAATCAGCATTTGGCTTAATTTCGTCATAGTTGGTCTTTTATTAAATGTGGATAGTCAGAGAATAATAAAACATGAAAAAATATTAGAAAATAATCGGCTTAGGCTATAAAAAAAAAAAAGTAAAGTCTATTTTTATAACAAAACAATTTTCAAGTTGAAAATCAAGCGTCGTTTGTAATTAAACGGCCTACAATAATGCAAAACGTGATAAAATAAGACATCTGGAGAATATATTTCTCTTTCTAAAACACTGATTAATTTTTAAAATATTCGAAGCAGTTCTATAGAAAATGCACATAAGAGGCAGAAAAGCGGTACCGGCGTAGTTGTCTACAGACCACTACCACACCATTCAGTACTCATAAATGTCGTAATTATAGTGCTATAATAACGTTTTGGTACATCATGCGTTATTGTCGACAGTTTAATTACAAACGACGCTTGATTTTCAACTTGAAAATTGTTTTGTTATAAAAATTGACTTTACCGGTGTTTTTATAGCCTAAGCCGATTATTTTCTAATATATTTTCATGTTTTATTATTCTCTGACTATCCAGATTTAACAAAAGACCAACTATGACGAAATTAAGCCAAATGCTGATTCTCATTTACCAAAAAACTAACTAAAGTCTAAGTCGTCGGTCCGCCATGTTTGGACGCCAAACTCTAAAATTCACAACCCCGTCAAAATATGCCCTCTCAAAAACTTTAATTGCGCACCTTAAGCCTCGCAATATATTTCTGGTCTACTCTGATTTTTCTCTCGTCATATCTTTCAAAAGCAAACGTGCGACCCGAAATTCTGAAGCTATATCATTTCATGGATATATTTATAACCTTAAATATATTTGCTGTATTTTGTTAGGGTTCTCGAATAAATCTAGATCTGATATTATATTTAAATAATGAAGTTTCTATCTTCCGTTTATTCCGAAAAATCATCATGTAACCGTTCAGAAAATTAAATTAGTGGAATTTCTCTTTGTTATATTCTAACAGTACCCATTTCCAATTAGTGTGACAGCTTTTGACCTGTCTCTGACAGACAATGTAAATCTCTTTATTCCATTTTAGCAAACTTTGCAATGGAACATAACTGTTTAATAACTAATAGTCGTGCAATCGATAATCAACGGATCGTAGAATCCATAATCAACCGGTGACATATAGCGATCCCGAGCAATCTTTGTCATTCTTGTGACTTTCATTCACGAATGATAGTGTAAGGGTCGTTTATGGGTTGGCTTCAGACCTGCACCATTTTTTTTTGGTAAAGGACACATGTTTAGCACTACCTGTTTTTCTCCGTAGGTCAGAAAAGGTACCTCACAATAGACCCCATGATTTTCCACGCTTACCAAAGCGTGAAAAGAGGCAACAAGTTTGAGCCATCGATTTTTAAAGAAACGAGTTATTTTTAGTATCGATCGTTAAAACTATGCAAATTAGTGTATCCACTAACTTAAATTCATAGAGTAAGTATTTCAGGAAGGACGACTTTTGATCTCTTGGGATTTTTCAGTCTTAATTTCTCCTTAATCTGTTACTGTATTTACATTATTTTTAGTATTCAACTTTCGTTTTATTTAATGTATTCTTCTCTTATTAAAAATATATATTTATATTATCTTTAGGATATCGAATAATCTAAGAGTATTGAAAATTATTTTTCACACATTTCATTAAAATGTATCAGAATATAGAGAAGAAGAACTAAAAAACATTCTAATCAAGAAAATTAAAAGGGAAGGAAAAAAAGAAAACATCTATATTTAGAACTTCTAAAGTAGGATTTGTAAATCATTACTCCAGTTTCTGCGTTTAAACTTACCTTTTCCCCATCTATTAATTTTTTCAAGTCCCATTTTGCAAATACGAAGACTTTATGAAACATTTGAAGACGCTATAAACTATGCATTTAATTTGTCACAAATAGAACATTGATTCTTCTTATTTAGATCATGGGTTTTGTATTAACATTTTGTTTTAATTTTAATTACATTCTTTAAGGAAATTTCCATTTAAAAAACTCCTTTATTCGCAATAGACTTGCGAAGTAATAATCAATGGGTTGGTAATAATGAAATAAAGAATTAGTGATTTGCATGATAAATATTAATAAAATCCTTGAAGAACATTTATCGTATGCACTAGTAACTTCTCTCATACCTTTGTTTATTCAATGATAGAGTGCGTTTATGTAATTAAATAACATTCAAATTAGGCCTCATGTTTTATAGAATGGGGAGTTGAAAGAGCATTCCTGTTACAGTCTCGACAATTAAGCTAAATTGTATAAATTGTAAAGTCTTTAATGGCCTTGAAAACTGATGTAAAACCCATGCACAGGAAACTAAACTCAAACAGTGAACAAAATAGGATTTTCATTAAAATCATGAAGCAAGGAATAAATGAAAAAATTAAGATGGAAGAGATAGTTTCGATGAGAACTTAAAGTGAAGAGGTCAGAAGGCAAGAGATCTCAAGTAATATACTGATATATTTTTCTTAAAAGTATTTTTTTTTTGTTTCAATAATTTTTATAATGTAAAATATTGTATCAGCGTATTTTTCTAGAAAATAATATAATATTGAACTGTATCGAGAGTCATTACAACATTAAAAAATACATATCTTCATTATTTATATAAATATAAAGGACAGTTTGTGTGCTAACAGTCGAGATATCTACTTTTTAATGCCATCACTCAATGCTTCACAGGGAGATGTTTTAATTATCTTTAAATTTATGCTCCCCTGTCCCCGTAATGTCCCGATACATTAGCCATTGTGTGGATTGTTAACAATAAATAATTTACAAAAATTTTGGAAGTCTTTTAAAATCCTTTGGGCCCTATATGCAGTTTTTTTTTCCGTTTTGTATTCAAACTAAGGCACTTCCGGAAAATGATATGTTTAACTTCAATTTCCTGTTCAAACCCCTCAAAAACGTGTAAGTACAAAATATCAAAACTTCCTTAAAACTTTACAGATTGAAATCCCCATTGCCCGGACTTGTTAGCAATAAAAAAAGTAAAACTTGTGACCTTATTGTCAATTATAACAAAATTATTTATTAATTCAAAAATAGGAATAGTTTCTCAATCTCTTTGATTATTAATTAATTATTACATTATTTAAATTTGAGTAGCACGCGGAGAATATCTTTTTGTCAATTGGGAGCTTGTTGATTAGAGCAATGAAGAAGACGCATGCTCTCTTGGCACAACTCCCGCTCAGTACCTCTCCTGTCGAGCAAGGGAGAGGAGGTACCTCTCGTTTTGTTTTTTTGTGCCGGTACTTGTTTTGGTTTTTTGCTGTTGTTTTTGTAGACATTTTGTGCGAAATTAAGCTTTTGGACTTTATTTAGCAGTGTGCAACGCATATTTACAAAAATGGTAAGTGTTGTTTTTTTTTTTACTGTTTGTAAACACAACAAAACCGAATCAGTTAGTCAACTGAGGCACTAATTTACATTAATCAGTTCATTTTTATTGCCATTATTTTAAGATTTATTTGTTACTAGTTTTGTTATATAATTTATTTATATTTTTAACTTTGATTATTAAATTTGCTGGTTTTTGCGAGGTTATCACTGTTATCATAATAAACAAAGATTATGCAAATTATCTTTAGTATAATTTGACATAAATTTTTCTTTAATAGATGGATACTTTGTTTTTATCAAATATTTTACGCCTTTTACTGTTTTTTTATACATTTAATTGTATTATTTAAAATTTAAATCAAGAGAGAGATTTTATTAATCTAATCTTCAATTATAAATACCTCATTTTTTATAGAAGTTTTTTTTGAGATCATCAATAATGTGGATCCCCTCTAGGAATGCTAAATTTAGGTGGATTTTGTTTCTGATAAACACTTATTATGAATTTGAAAAACAATATTAGAATATTTTTTTAGATGTACAATAAACATTGAAATTAATGTTTCATCTCTTAAAATTAATTAATATATAAATTCTAAAAGAGTATATAAGTTTTAAATACTTATTTTCCTTAAGAGGAATGTTCCGCCCTTTTAAGTTATTCATTAATGCTCTGTAAATTTTGGGTTGTGAATTTGTGAATGTGTAATACTTATTTGGCTGACATAACTCCCACCTATGATGGATTTCATCAATTAATTATTATTTTAGCCCTTAATTTTTAAATGTGCATTCATTTTGAACTGCTTTATGAAATTATTGAATTTTTAAATCCTAAAGTCAGTTTAATTTTAAAATATTAGTTTCTTATTATTTTTTATTTTATTTTTCCTATTTTATATAGTTAAAATCATCTTAGAAAGAAGATAACTTAAATTGCACTAGTTATATTCTTGTCTTTCAGTTTTACACTAATTTTCAGCTTTTCAAACATTTTTTTATCTTTGTTGTCTCAAATTTGGTTTTGAAAATATTCCTTAATTTAAAAAAAATATATATTTATTATGTATGCAATATTAATTTGCTAAAGTTAAGACCTAATGCAGCCAGCTATCTAGAAATTACTTTCACATAAGATTTTTTTCTGTTTTCCGTTGCAAAATGATAAAGAAAAAGAATATAAGAGTCATTTCTACTTTATAAATTTAAACTAATTGAAATTGTTTTAATAAAATAAATAAGATATAAAAAGTGTGTTGGTGGGGAATACCTATCAGACAGATAAATTGTACATCAATAAATGTGCATGAAATGAATATTACCTTCAATTTTTAATAATTAATTATTAAATATTCCATTTAATTATTAATTATTAATTTTTAAGTGTTTTCTGTGTACAATACTCCTTCTTGGCCGCGGTGCATTTTTGCCATACAAATGAAAATAAAAAGTGTTTTTCAAATTTCTTCATCTTTTTATACATTAATTCCAATTTCAAGTTTTTAAAAATATTTTTTTTAAAAAGATTTACATTTACATATATCCCCTCCAAATACATTTCTAGTTCTATTATTGTTATAATTTTTATTTAACAAAAATAATAGTATTTGTTAAAGACACTTGTTGTAATACATTAATAGAGCCACCAATAAATAAATTCTTATATCTTTAAAATTTTTTTTTTGTTTTATTGACTCATCTTAAGGTGCATTCAAAATACTGTAGTCATCTATTGAATTGTTGCTATTATTGTAATAAAAAATCTCTAAGTAAATTATTATTATTTTCACAATACTTAATATTATTTATTGTGATTAATCATTTATTTTAAACAGTTATTTTATGTATAAGGAATCATACATTTATTTGATAACCTTTTTCTCTCTAGTTCAACCTACAAGTAGCTGTTTCTAGGCATTGCAAGTATGTGATACAAAAACGCCGACTACATTTCTCTCCAGTTCTAAGAAATGAAAATAATAAACCGCTTGGTGTGGCTACCAGTAGCCTTAAGATTGGTGTACCTAAAGAAATCTGGAAAGATGAAAGAAGGTATATTATATTTTTATTAGCTAATTAGTAATTAGCTTCTTTTTTTTTCTTTTTTTTTTTTTGTTAAAAATATTTTTGACTTGATTCTTTTTTTTCTTTTAGGGTTGCCATTACTCCTGGCGTTGCAGCTACTTTAATTAAAAAAGGATTTAATGTTGAAGTAGAAGAAGGAGCTGGTAACAGTGCTAAATTTCGTGACAGTGATTATGCAGCTATTGGTGCTAAAATTGGTTCAAAAAAAGACGTGTTTACTTCAGGTTGCTTGATTAGTATTTTATACAGTACCTATCCAATTATTGGTGGATTATTTTATTTAAAACTGAAGCCGACTCTTTTTTTCAGATGTGATTCTTAAAGTTCGTCAGCCATTAGAATCAGAAGTAGAGCTTTTCCAACCAGGTTCTACCTTAATATCATTTCTGTATCCTGGACAAAATAAGCCTTTGATTGACAAATTAGCTGAAAGAAAAATAAATGCTTTTGGTATTATACTTTTTTCCTCTTCTTTGGTTACTCTTAGTTAATTTTGAGATATTTGTATTATTTTAATAGACCTAATCATAATGTTTGACAGGTATGGACTGCATTCCTCGTATCTCTAGAGCCCAAGTATTTGATGCTCTTAGCTCTATGGCTAACATTTCAGGATATAGAGCTGTAATTGAAGCAGCAAATCATTTTCCCAGATTTTTCGCAGGTAATGTAGAATGCTATAGTAAATCATTAAAAATCAAAAAATAATTTATTTATTTACTTAATTTTTCTTCAATGATGCTGGAATTCTGTTGTAGCTTATTTATTTATTTTTACTAGAGTATCACATTATTTATTGTTATTTGGTTAATTTGATCATAGAAATTTAAAAAACACAATTGTTTTATTTTCTAAAATAAATGTTCGTGTCTTAAAGGTACTGTGACTGTTTTAGGATCAAAAAATTATTATCTTTATTTTAATTTATTAAACTACTTTATTTCCTAAAAATATTAGGATCATTAAATATGTATGACATTTACTGTAATTAACAAGTGGTCTGCTGAATTTGTAAAAATATATTATGAATGTCATGCTTGGCCAATTTTATTTAAAAATGGTTGCTTATTAAAAATATTTGCAGTTTAATTTCAGAGGGATATAATATGATTAAAACAAAGCTCTGGGAACATAAATCATGGTTGATATTAAAAAGAAAAAGTTACTTCTTAAACATATAAAACATTATTAATCATTAACTTAGCCCCTCTTAAAATGTTTTGATAAAAAAAACATAATTATAATATAAACAGCAAAATGTTTTGAAATAATGATGACAATACTTGAAGGTACCGAGTCAAATTTGATCCTGAAAAACAGTCGCAGTGCTTTTTGTGTTTTATTGTTTCTGTTTTATTTATCCAAAAGTGTTTTATTCGGTCTTTCTTTCTTTTTTTATATCTAAGTGAAACTTTAAAAATAAATGTATATTTATCTGAAAAATAATGTGTACATTTCAAATAGATATGTATTTTTAACGTGAATACTTACTGGTGACATCAAAAGTTCATACAACAGAATATTATTTTTCACTTGAACATATTCTATTATTTTAGTTTGTTCCATTACCCTATTTATGAACTCTTGTCTCATTTTTCATAATCCTAAGAATTTTGTCAATTTTTGATACTCTACTTGATATTAAATTTTAAAATATAAACAATAATAAGAGGATTCTTTTTAAAAATCTTAATTCCGAAAGTTCTTAATTACTTCTACGAAATGATGAAGATTCATATATTCCTTCATCCTGCAGATACATTTAAATTTATTATAATATTAAAATATATCACTTTAAAGTAAATTAAAATAAATAAAAAAAAAAACGGGAAGGAGAGAGAAATAAATAAATTCCTCATTAATCGAGCGTCTAGATAATTGAACCCCAGATAATCAAAGTTTTTTTGTATTGATTTTTTTGGAACAACCTCCAAGCTATCTATACTTCATTGATGACGAAGGTGTTTCAGAAAAATTTCAAATCAAAGACAAAAATTTTTCTAATAATAAATTATTACATTATTGATATAGTCCTGCATAAGACAATAATAAACACGTGTTTAATTTCCTTGTATTCATATATACCTGAAAGTTGCCTTGTTGCTGTAATGTGGCATGAAATATAAATGTGGTGAAATTAATGAGAATATGTACTTGATGAAAGCAATGACCGTCGAAACAATTTTGAAGTTCTTGTAGTAAAAGTCTTTATATTCTAAATGCAAGCTGTATATAATTCATATTATAAATTTATATTTGAGGTTACCTGAGATGATAAGAAAATTAAATTTTTTTTCTTTTTTTTTCTGAATTATAACAATACAATCTTGCCTAATCAATAGATTTCTTTTTGAAATATGTCAGTAATGTAATATTTTACAGTATTTTTTTTTTTTTTTTTTTTTTTTGTACCATAAAGTTATTTTAATTGATCTAAAATACTGTTTGTTTCATTGTTATTTATTTATTATTTTTTAAATTCTACTTTCATTATTATACAGGGCAGATAACAGCTGCAGGCAAGGTTCCACCTGCAAAAATTCTTGTTATTGGGGGTGGAGTAGCTGGTCTTGCTGCTATAGGGCAGGCGAGAAACATGGGTGCTATAGTGAGAGCTTTTGACACGAGATCAGCTGTGAAAGAACAGGTTGAATCAATGGGGGCTGAATTCTTGGAAATAAATATAAAGGCAAGTTTGAGTTTTTTGTACTCATATAATAAATTATGATAGCTATATTTTAAGCAGTCCTAGATTTTTTATACTTATCAAAATAAATCTTTTCTTGATTAATTTATTTTACACAATATAATATTGTTAACAGGAAGAGGGTGCTACTGCTGGAGGCTATAGTAAAGAAATGTCCAAAGAATTCATAGCAGCTGAAATGGCATTGTTTGCTAAGCAAGCTAAAGATGTAGATGTTATAATAACAACTGCTTTGATTCCTGGGAAAAAAGCTCCAGTTCTCATTTTGAAGGTTGGTTAACAGGTTTTATATTTATTATTATTATTTTTTTTTTTTTGAGAAATAAGTTAGAGATATTTTATGAAATTTCTCAAGGAAATTGTTGCTTATTTAACATTTCTTCGCTTCACAATGTAACTCCGTTATAAACATTAATGATGTATGCTAATTGTATAGTCCGTGGTACAGACCCCTTTTTTTTTAATTATTAACATCCGCCAGAAACTGCGTTAATAGTTTCATCTCATAGTGACCTACAATTATTTTATTTACAAAAACTCTTGGAATTGGGGCGTTTTCAATCTGGAGGGGGGCAAACTTTGTCTATTTAATTAGGTACTAAATAAACTCGTAAATACTCATTTGTTTTCTACTGTGATCAGAAGATAATTTGATCACAAAATAGAGAAAAAAGGTGGCCTTCAAAAATATTTAGCCGTTTGGCATGACCTACACTCCCAAATTTTCAAAATAACAAGGTTATATAGGACAAACAGCACAATATTTTTGTAGGCCACCTTTTTTATTGATTTTTTATCAATTTATGTTACGATCCAAAAATAAAGCAAATGGGTGTTTACGAGTTTTTAATAGCTAATTAAATAGACAAAGTTTGCTCCCCTCCAGATTGAAAACGCCCCAATTCCAAGAGTTTTTGTAAATAAAATAGTTGTAGATTACGATGAGATGAAAGTATTTACGAAGTTTTAGGCGGATGTTAATAATTCAATAAAAGGGGGTCTGTAGGATTAATATTTTTTCATGGATTTTATACTCCAACCTTGTTTTGTGACTTTCGGATGATAGTTATGTCAAATGTTTGCTTTTTTTCGGTACCTTTACTAAATTTTAGCCTGTTAGTTATTGGATAAAATCTAAATGTAGCAAACAAATATCAGAAAAAATAATTTTTTTAAGCTGCATTTTAACCAGAGTTTATACTGGAATTTGTTAAAGATTAGCTAATAACTTTTGATTTTATTTATGCCGATTTCTTCAAAATGTTGATAGCGTTTCACTATGGATCAGTGTTGAAAATTAGGTTTCCATATATTACAAGTAATATCCAACATCTTTGTTATATACACCTTTAAGTAACAATAACATAAGTATTTGAAATTTTATAACTTTTTTATGTAAAGAACTAAAATGTAATTGTAATAAATAAAATATAATGTAATTGTATGTAAAATGTAATGAAAATGTAAAGAGTCACTGATCTTATCTTTTAATTTATCTCAAAATTGTATGCATTTCATGTGTTTTAAATTAATGTTATCAAATACATATTCTTTGTAATTAATTTGTTAGTGGCCATTTTAAATAAATATTAAACTAACTTTAAATGTAACCTTCATTAAGATGTTCCTTAGATATGTTCATAAATGTGACTCTATAACTTTTATTACTTTCTTTTTAGGAGCATATTGATGCAATGAAACCTGGCAGTGTAGTAGTTGATTTAGCTGCTGAAACTGGTGGCAATATTGAAACTATTAAACCTGGACAAATTTATACCTACAATGATGTTACTCATATTGGTCTTACAGACTTTCCTTCAAGACTCCCTACTCAAAGTTCTACACTATACGGAAACAATATTTCTAAATTCTTGTTGTCAATGAGTATGTATTATTATCAAACTTACAATAAAAATTCAGCTTGTTTAATCTGAAGTTGTAATTTATATAATAATTTTCTAGTAGCACGCAAAAAAAAAAAACAACTTTATTAACAAATACATTTGAAAAAACTAACAATGTTTTTTGGTTGCTATAGATCTATTTTCATAATATTATTTACCATATATATATAACTTACCTTTTTATATGAGGAAGCTGTTTTTCAACCACTAATATTGTTATCATTTGTTGCTGGAAGAAGTTAGGAATGCCTTTATTATAATAATTGATGATTAATTATAATGTGTATGATACACTCAGAAGGATTTCTGAATACTTTAATACTGAATTACTAAACAAATAGAATGAGGGCATGAATGTTATTCTGATTCAAGATTTGACCAAAATATTTCTTTTGCTAAATGCCATTGTGTAAATTTAAAATTAGTCATTATTCCCAATTGTTCTTCTCTGGTGAACAGAAATATATTACATCTCTCAGAATTTATAAATAATTAAATACTTGTGGAAAAGGCAGGTTCTCAGAAAAGATATCTAATCGTAAGGGAATAGACATCTTATCTATCGTAGCGACGAATGGTTTCAATAGTAGTCTCTTAAAGCTATATTAGTATCTTAAGATTTTAATATATGTATCCTGAAGATTTAGAAAAAATAAGAGACAGTTAATTAATGACCAGAATTGAATAATAAAAATTAAAAAAATATTTGCCATTGAATATAGATGAAATTAAAAACAAAATTCATAACCTAAAATTCTCTGGTCAGTGAATCTCTGTCAAGTTTATTAACATTGGCAAGTCATTTAATTTTCCTTTTAATTTATATAGTTACTTATTCTGAACATTATGATGGGTGGTGGTTTTCTAGAAATAACATTTTATATATGGTCTCAATATGTTTGTTCCATGATTTTAAATTACTGCTTAAGGTCCAAAGGATCATTTTTACATCGACCTTGAAGATGAAGTTGTGAGAGGAGCTATGGTTTTAAATAAAGGTGAACTGATGTGGCCACCTCCTCCACTCGCCGTACAAGCCACTCCTCCACCTCCAAAGGTGACCACAGCGATAGCAAAAGTGGAGCCTAATCCTTTCCTGTCTACTAGTAAAGAAGTAATGCTATATACTGCAGGTAATTACTGTCGTTAACTCTAGATTTAAAGATTATGTATGAATTGTTAATAATCGATTAATTTTAAAAACATTTGAATCTCTTTTTAATAATGTTCGAAGTTTATTGGAGTAATTGTAAAAAAATTTCTGTTAGGATTATCAAGTGTTTTGGCATTGGGTTATGCAGCTCCAAATACTGAATTTTCTGCAATGGCTTCGACTTTGGCTTTATCTGGTTTGGTTGGTTACCATACTGTATGGGGTGTTACTCCTGCCTTACATTCACCCTTGATGTCTGTTACGAATGCTATCTCTGGGATAACTGCTGTTGGTGGACTTCTTCTCATGGGTGGAGGTTACTATCCTACCAATCCAGTTGAGGTATGTATATGCAGATGCTGAGACCATCTATTAAGATTAAAAACAATTTCAATGCTAAACATTAAAAGACAAATCGGTACTTCTTAAATGGCAGGTCGGGTCCGATTGCTATCTGCCAATGTTTATAACCTTAACACTGATAATATCTTTGTATTCATATTTGTTGTATTATATTCATATTATTATATCTTCGTATTCATATTTATTGTATTATATTCAGATTAGTGAAATTTTAAACAAAAACAAATGTAATAATAAAAAAATACTTTTATTTAACAAGATATATATTAAATAGACCAAAACATTACAACATACATGTAAAAATAAATGAAATAATAAAAATAAGCAAAAAATCGACAAAAATAAATGAAATAATAAAAAACAATTAAACAACATATGTACATATAAAAGAAACATGTAAAAACATTAAAAGAAATCCTTGACCCCTCTAACTACATTCCTTTCCTTGTAGAAACGTTTTTGTTACATGTACGAAACATCTCCATTTCGTCTTCCCGTCCAACTTCATTTCATGGCCTTCATCACAATATTTCACCTTTGTAATTATCCCAGCGTCTTCAAAATATATGATAGCCTCCTCTTCTGAAGACCGCAATTCGAACAACATAACAATATCCATAATTTTATGAAAATAACACTAACTCACAGCTTAAACGAGGAACAAAAAATAAACAATGGAATAACTTAGGTTAGATAAGATAAGAAGGGAGGTTATGTGATATAAGATTAGATAACAAGGGAAATTTCGACCCGACCGGCTAATTAAGAAGTACCGACAAATCATTAAGTGGTCAGCTTTGCTAAGAAAACAATAAACCACAAATTACTCTGAACTACCCACATTTTTAGTCTGTATTAATATTTTATTCATTACTTATGACAATAAATTATTATTCGAGCAATGTACTTCAGTCAGATGTCTATTCACTAATTTAAATATATATATATGTTGTCAAAGTTCTTTAACTTCATCTATATTTTATTAATGTTTCTATGTTATTGTATACTCTTCTTATTAATGCCAATATGTCTCTTTCACATCATCTGTTTCATTGATTCACCTTACCTAACAAAGAGTGAATACTAATGTCTGTGTTAAAAGATACTGAGAAGCAAAACATTGGCTTCCCCATAATTATTTGTTCTGATTTTAGAAATAAATCTTTCTTTACAATACTCATAAGGAGGGAATGTGTCTCAGAATGAATAACCAATTTATTATTATTATTTTTCAGACATTAGCTGCTGCTGCTGCTTTTATTTCCTTCATTAATGTGTTTGGAGGATTTATCGTTACTAAAAGGATGTTGGATATGTTCAGAAGGTAAATAAGATTATAACTTAGTTTTTATTTTATTTTTTTATCAATTTATTTTCATAGCCCTAATTATTTTTTTTAAAGGCCAGGAGACCCACCAGATTATAACAGCCTTTATTTGGTACCAGGTTCTGCGCTATTAGGTGGATATGCCCTGGGTGTTCTATATTCCTACCCCGAAATTCATCACATGGCATCTCTTGCTGCTTCTTTGTGTTGCGTTGGCGCCCTTGCAGGTCTTAGCTCTCAAAGTTCTGCGAGAGCAGGAAACAATTTGGGCATTGTAAGTATTTTTAAGGAATACAATAATAAGTAAAATGTTTAGGATAGTAATGTTTAGGGCTCATGCAGTCAAATGATGATTAAATTCTTATAAACAATTGAAAAACAAGAACTTTTTTTAAAATTGTATTTATTAAGTATACAGATTTACAAATAAAAGAGTGGATTATAAGCTTTAAGTAAAAGTAAATAAGTAAGTAAAGTATAATTAAAAATATGATGCTATACTACCTAAGTGTTGTCGTTTAAATAATTGAAAATATTTTAATAATTATTTAATGTTCAAATATTATATAAAGTTGATATAGCATGATAGTTGCACCTAGAGACACCATTTATTTTGCAAATAAAACAGTTTTTAAAAACAACATCTCTTGTAGCATTGGTATACTGTATGTTTTGGTCATCCTTTCTAACTTTGTCATAATTTTCAGAATGATACAAAATTTATATTTTATTAGTCCACATTAGATACATGTTACTTCCAAGATAAACTATTGTTTTTTTGTTTTTTTTATCTAAGATTGGTGTTACTGGTGGTATCGCTGCTACTCTTGGCTACCTGGGTCCTGATGTTGCCACACTGATGCAAATGGGAGCGTGCGTGGGAGTTGGAGGTCTCATTGGTTCCTTAGTCGCTAAGAAAATACAAATCACTGACTTGCCTCAGCTGGTTGCCGCATTCCACAGGTAATTTTTTATTTTAAACTTATTGATTTTTTTAAAAATTATTACCAGATAGAAATATAAAAAAAATCTGGTGCGCGCAACACACAACTTTCATTTACCACTCTACTTTGAATAGCAATTACTTTCTGGCAATGCTGGGCTATTATAAAATTTTTTGAAATGCATTTTAAACAGAGATAAACCTTAAAGCTTACAGATAACAAGTCATTAAGACCATTATAATTACAAAATTTCTATTTAATATATCGACGGTAGGCAATAAAAATTTAGTCACTCCATCTGCTTTTATAAACCACAAAATGACTAACTCCAATTTCAACATTTTTTAATAATGTCATTTTAGTGATATTTTTAGTTGAAAAAGTTATCTATGCAGACAATGAGTAAGTTGATAAAACAAAAGATATAAGCTTTGAAGTAGAACATATTAAAAAAAATAAGCTAGAGACAATATCTTTCCTCCTAATTGTCCGATTTTAACGAATTTTTTTTGTTTCTTAGGAAATTCCGTAAACTTTTAAAAAAACCATATACAATATCGACATAAAAGTGTATACTTTTTTGGGTTATTCAGAATTTAATGTTACCATCCCTCGTAACTTTTTTTCCAGCTTCTTTTCGTTGAAGTATGTTATATAGATAAATTTAAAGGGTGTTGAGAAAATGACTTTAGCAAAGTTTCATTGAAATCGGTACATTCGTTTAGGCGTTGCAGTCTAAAGCAACGCAGGTTTTTCTGCATTTTTATTTTTTCTCCTTTATTAACTTATCAAATTCTTTCAAAAGTTATATTTAGCATTTTTTCGTAACTCTGAATAATTTGAAATGATTAACTTTTTAATATAAACCATATTAAAGGTACTTTAGAGGAAGAAGTATATGAACATTGGGCATTTAAGCCCTGTAAAGTGACATTAATGAGGATAAGACCTAATTGGTATTAAAGATTACTTCATTATACATTGATACACCGAGTTTAATCAAAATTGTTAGAGCCGTTTTTGAGAAAATTATAAAAATGTGTTTCAGCGTTAATATAAAGTGGCACTTCTGGTTAGCCGATTTTGAGGAAAAAGTTGCTGTCACATCTAAGGCACATACCTATCTTAAATACGTAATATCAGTTTTGTACGACTTTTCGTTTTTGAGCTAGACTGCTAACATACAAACACACAGACCATTTTTCGGGACTTGGTTATTTCGACTCAGGGTACCTCAAAACGTGTATTTCCGTTGAAAACTGAGATTCAAAAATTTTCTCGATCGCAATACTTACCCTTACTATATATTACATAATAAAGTAAAAAGAAAGTAAAAAATAGTTCTAATAGTTTTCCATCTAGCTATTATTTTTTTTAACATATTTTAATCATCATTTATATGGAACTTTTTCAATATCATCACTGTAGAAGATACTGAGATATTTTATGAATCCATTATACCATACCCAGGACTCTTTTTCCATCATCTTCCAAATGACTTTTTAATTTGAATAATATGTTGAATAGGGCAAGGGATGAGTCGATATGTATGGAACAATGACTTGTTCTCCATTGCGGGTCTGACATTATTACATTTAGCTTTGAGGAGATAATTGAATGGGTAAATGCTAGATAGAACTATATCTAGCCTTGGGATTGTTTTGTCTGCAGAGCTGAGATTAAGCTGTCTATTTGGCTCTAGATCTTATTTTTTACTCTTTTTTATAATATTAATTTTATAATTTAGTAAAAAAAATTGAATGTTTTAATCATTTTATTACTGTTGCATCATCTTTAAAGAAATTTACTTTTGGAAAATTGTGAGGTATAATTTTTAGGCAATTATCATTCAATGGATTTTAAGTAAATCCATGGGTTCTTGTCTGTCTGGGGTTCTTGTAGTAATAATTCTTTGTACTTTTGTTTCTTCATACTCACATTGTAGCAATTCAGAATGTTTACTTTTACCATAATGATCTTTTAATTTCTAGGTTTTGGAACAATTGCCTCTCTTATTTTAATAATTTAAATCTTATATTTAATGGAATACAGTCATTTGTGATTTATTATTTTATTGATTAATAAAAGGTTTAAATGATTGATTATAGCTTGGTTGGATTGGCTGCAGTTCTGACGTGTGCTGCTACATTTATTCATGATTTCCCTACCTTGGCGACTGACCCAGCAGCGGAAGTTATTAAGACAGCATTATTTCTGGGAACAGTTATTGGAGGTGTAACATTCAGGTAATTCATGTTTTGAGATAAATTTGTGTGAGTTTTATACCAACAAAATATTTTCCCTCTTTGACACGGATATATCACATATTCCACATGTACAGAAATTACCACCTACCAAAGAGAGAATTTCCAAAAAGAGTATATATATATAAACTAACTAGTGATTTTTTTTTCATTTTAGTGGATCACTTGTGGCTTATGGTAAACTGCAAGGCTTATTGAATTCATCTCCTCTTCTTCTACCCGGACGACATGCTTTAAATGCATCTTTACTAGCTCTTAATGCTGCTTCAATGGGATATTTCTTTATGGATGGTAGCCTTACCGGAGGATTGGCCAGTTTAGGAGCAGCTACAGCCTTGTCTACCACGATGGGAGCCACTCTTACTGCAGCAATTGGAGGTATGAACTTTTAAATTTATGACCCAAAGAAATCTTATAAATTGATTTTTTTAAATACTATTAAAATTATGGAAGTTTAATCATTTTTTTATCAAATGATTTTTTAATTATAAAATAATTTTTTTTTTTCAAGTTTGAAGTTTCATTATTTTTTACCACTCTAGCTCAAAATATTTGTTTATGGAATACCTTAGAAATTATATGTGCTGTATATATACAGCACTTGGTACTTTTGTAAAAAAATGTTATAATTTAATCTTTTTAATTTAGTATATCGGAACTTGAATGGAAAGGTAACAGATAAGTATGAAACATTAACAGAACAGTATACGACAAGCATAGGGCATTATGAGCCAATCCCTCCACCAAGACATAGCTCCAAACTATGTAGTTATGTGCACTTTCTTAAATTAATGATCTCTCTGTTTGGTTTGATTTAGTACTGGGCATCCGTTGTGGGCACAACCAATGAATACACTGAATATCGTTTTGTACCTACATTGGCTGTAAGATGAAACGTCAACTCTATTGATTCCCAAAACTATTTTAATGTTATTTTTGCTGTAATATATCACCATTATAGCAACTAATTTCTTAACAAAGAGAGCGTTTATAACAGCAGTTACCTCTCAGTACTCCTGAAACCTTTCAAATATCTCATTTCTAAATTATTCAGAATCCATCAAAATTGCACTTTTACCGTGGAACACATCTTACAAGCAATTGATCATGCAATTTTTTCAAAACATTCAACAGGAGCACAAAAAAAAATCTCCATTTAAAAACCTAAAGTAATACTGAGGATCTCTTGACACCATAGTCAATTTACAGCTGATGTAATAGAAAATAAATTTTCTCCCCCACCTTCTGAAAATAGTAGTCCGATTTCTTGCCCACTCAGCTCCCCTACTCTCCTAACTATTTCCTATTGAAATAAATATTATGGAAATTCTAACTATTGTTTTCATTAAAAAACAATAACTACTGAAAACTCGAAAATTTGTAGATATAATAATTGATAATGATATTAAATTTAATATTTAAACATTTTAGCATGATATATCCTGAACAATTCTGATAGGATTCATTTATGTTTTTGAAAATTTAAAAATACCTCTTTAACCAGAATATAGTTCACAATAAAATCAGATTAAAATAAATTATTATAAGAGTTAACATACTATCAAAAAGAGTATAGATAATCTAAACTATTTTTTTGTTTCATGGATCTCAAATCAATAAAAGTATTTATGTATACTAATGTTTTATATTTTCTGGCTCAGGTGCAGATATGCCAGTGGTAATAACTGTTCTAAACAGCTATTCTGGCTGGGCTCTTTGTGCTGAAGGTTTTATGTTGAACAACAACCTGATGACCATCGTTGGTGCATTGATTGGATCTTCCGGTGCAATCCTGTCGTACATCATGTGCAAGGTATGTCTATTTAGAATCGTTTCTTTTTGTACCCACTAGAATGACTAGTAAACTATTAAATAATAGACAATTATCTACATGCTAAAATATTTGTATTTCTAGGCTATGAATAGATCGCTTCCAAATGTCATATTAGGAGGCTATGGAACGTCATCAACTAAAGGTGGGAAGCCAATGGAAATAACTGGAACACATACAGAGGTTTCAGTGGACAATGTTGCTGAAATGATTTCCAATGCCAAAAACATAATTATTACTCCTGGTATTTATTTATTGCAAATCAATGCTACTTATATTTATAGTTTATAAATTTAAAAAAATTCTAACAGGTTCAATTGTTCAATTTAGGTTATGGATTATGTGTTGCAAAAGCTCAATATCCACTTGCGGAAATGGTTGATTTATTGAAGTCCAAAGGAAAAAAAGTGCGCTTTGGAATACATCCTGTTGCTGGTACTTATAATTTTTTTAATTTTTTTATTAGTCTATCATATAATAATAATAAAAGGCTTAGCGAACCCGAAGGTTCGATGCCGACACCACCAATCGCTTATTACACACCTCCCTCCACTGTTCGCCGTCCAAACCCAGTCCCTTCAGATCGGCTTTAATGCAATCTTCCCACCTTCGCTTCGGTCTACCTCTCGGAAGCTTACCATTCGGCACAGCAAATATTAACCTTTTAGGAATTCTCTCGTTACTAAGCCCAACAACTTTACAAGCCCATTTGATTCGCCGTGATCAATTATATTACCCGGATACAGTTCACGCAATTCGGCGTTGAGTCTATCATATGTCAAACTATTATTTTGATTTGTGTTAGTGCTGTGATTAAACTTGTGATTGGCCAGGTTACCCACAAGACCACAGTTGTCTTAATGTAAACATTTCAAATTACTTGAAATACAGAAAAAAAATTATACAATATGATAAATAAACAAGAAAACGTTGTTATAATAATGTATCATTCTCTTCAAATATTTTTATATCAAAATTCTTAAATTAATTCTGCATATCAGAATACATAACATGAAGGATCCAGAATTAAATTATCAATGGAATATTTGATTTAAGAGACGTTTGTTAATTTTTATTAGAGTCATGATATTTTTTTATTGGTTATTAAAAAATATTTCTGGAAATTATTCTTTTTCATGTGCATAAATATGTCTTTAATTCTAGGACGTATGCCTGGACAACTTAATGTCCTATTAGCAGAAGCTGGTGTTCCTTACGATGATGTCCTCGAAATGGAGGAAATAAATGATGATTTTACTGAAACTGATCTCACTCTCGTAATTGGTGCCAATGATACTGTCAACAGTGCTGCTGAAGATGATCCTAATTCTATAATTGCAGGAATGCCAGTTCTCAGAGTTTGGAATTCGGAGCAGGTAAATTATTTCAACTTTTAATTATAATTATTAAATATTTTGAATTATATGTTGTCAGTTAATATAACTAGAGTGGGAACTCTATTGACCGATACTTCTGACTAGTCATGATGAGAACATTAGAGTTTGTCAGGCTAATTTTCGAATTAATTCTCACGTCAATAAAATTAATATAGTTCATAAAATTGAGAACTGACTGAAAAAACATTAACCTAAACAGCAACAGTCAGGTTCACATTTCTGTTTTTAACTTCTTAACTCTCTGCGCATTACGAACAAAAAACAGGAAGGTTTTTACAGGTATATATGTTCAAACAACCAGTGATGTCTGTTAAAAAAAGAAATAAATTTTATTTTGGGACATTTAGTTTCCTTAGAATAATTATAATGTACTAAAAGATGAAAATTGTCTGACACTATAAAAAATAAAAACCATCAAGAACAAATCTAGCTAACATAACATAATAATCTAACCTTATAATTCAAATAAATTAAGAACTAGTAAACATATTGATAAACACATTCTGATTAACAATATTGATGATATATAAGCAACAGTCGATTGAGAGTGACGCCTCATTAATATGAAATTTTATCCTTACATGTATTTGAAAGATTGATTGATGAATGGATAAAAGTGTTTTAAATGAGGTTAAGGAAGAAGATTTGCATGTAGAGATAGGTAGAGAATTTTAAAAAAAGGTAGCACGCATGATACAGGATTTTTTAAAGGAAACGGTTCTATGTGAATAAAAGTTGTTTAAATGAGGTTAAGGAAGAGGATTTGCGTATATAGATAGGTAGAGAATTTAAAAAAAGGTAGCACGCATGATACAGGATTTTTTAAAGAAAATGGTTCTATGTGAGAGAACAAACATGTTTATGGACTGGTATCTTGTATTAAAAGAATGAACAGAGGAACTAGAAGTAAACAAATCAAGAAGGTAAGATGGCTTTTTGGTTGTAAAGGTTTCGGAAAGCAATACACCTAGGAAATATTTTCGCCGGAAATCTGGATAGAGCCCCTTTAACACAGCATACCAACTGGAGAGGTGGAAGCGCCTGGGGACTCCAAAGATGAATCGAATGAAGTAATTCTTTAATCTTTTCAATCTGATTTTAAACCCACCAGACAGTCCACTATATACAAGGCAGCCATAATCGAAGTGTGGAAACTAGGAGTTGGCAGGTTTTTAGGGGCATAGAATCACGGAATCTCAGGAACTGTTTTAGGGTAGCAATAGATTTTTGGATAATTTGGGAGACATGATTATTCCAGGACAGGTATAGATCTAAAATTACTCCGAGATTTCTGACAGAGGTATGAAAACGAATAGGTATTCCATTGAGATAGAGTAGGGGATAGTATGGAATGGAATTAATAAGATGCTTGGAGCCAATGAGAATGGCTATAGTCTTCTCAACGTTGAACTTTATTCACTTCAATTTTTGTCTTCAAATAGGAAATTGTTAATTTTGTGGTTGAAAATCACCTTACTGTCATATTAACCTGATGATAATTGCTTTCATGTTTTAACAATTTTTTTTTTTATAGGTCATTGTTATGAAGCGTTCCTTGGGTGTCGGTTATGCTGCAGTTGACAACCCAATATTCTATAAGCCAAACACTAGTATGCTTCTTGGAGACGCAAAGAAAACCTGTGATATGCTTCTTAATAGAGTAAAACAATTGTATAATGAATCTCCTGCTGCATAAATCAAAACTAAAAGATCTGTATGTTTAGTCATTAATTGTGGCATTTTATTAAATTTTTATTGCCAATATCAGTGGCTGATATTGAAAGTTAACGAGGCCCATAAAAATCCTAGGCATCACTTGTAATTTTTTTTTATTAACAGCTGATATGATTTTTAGTAGCGTGTATGATGGATATCCTGAAATCAGCTAAAATTTTCTGACTGTTTGAGCTACTTTGTTGAGGTTTGTTTTTTAAGCACTTTTGTCAATTTATTGCTTTTATATATGATGCGATGCATTTAAAAATAATACTATTCCTTATTTTTTAATTATATATAGCTTGTAAAACTTGAGCTCGTAATATAAATGTCCTATGTACAATTATTTGTGTTTTCGAAGAAGTTGTTAAGTTATTTTCTTTTGATTTCATTAAAATTCTTGTTGAAAGGTAGGTATTGATTCTGCTGTTTGTTGACTTGTATAGAACAAGATAGCAAATCTTGTAAGGTCACTGATTAACTATATCCTGCCTTAAAATAGTTATGTTTTATTTAGTTTTAAAACAATACCCAAAATTATTACATATAATTAATACCTTGAGGTTATATTTCCAATTGGAGTATAAATGAAGTTTTTTCATTATTAATAAATTTTCATCCAGTGTCAAAAGTGTGCCTTTATAAGTATGTAGTAACTGGTGAGATTGTATAGTCATAAACATTACCTTAAGAAACAAGATGAGACTGAGTATTTATGGCCTGATAATTGTAGATAATATTCCAACCTTGTAACAATCTGTATAAACTTTAAGGAATGTTTTAAGGCTAATTCATGCAAATGAAATGGTGTGCCCGTTTTTTAATATTTTTGGAGTTTGATGAAGTTTTAAGATAGGTTTTGATGATAGAAGTGGCAAGGTTGTTAACTTTCATTTTTAACGCATAATATTTATATAAAGTATATATATTTTTAACAGATTTATCTATTTCAATGTATATTGTCTATAGTACTTAACGGTTCATAAATTTTATTTATAACATCACTTTAATTATATATTTGATCCATAAAAAACTGTACTTTTTTTTTAATTAAAAAAAAAAGAAGAAAATATGACATATTACAAATTTGATATTGTGTTTTCAGAAATGTTTTATCTTTTATTATAATTACATTGTATATTTTAAATATTTTGTATGTATAACCAGTCATCTGCATTTGATAATAGTTGACTACATTCCATGTTTGTTATTTTGTTTGTTCATTATGTTTCTTGTAATTCATTTTTTTAATAAATGAATTTTTGAAAGTTTTATTTTAGTCTTAATTTATCCTGAAATGTCTTGATTAGGTTTATTATCTATAGAATTGTGTAAAAGTATAATCGGTTAAATAATAGTTTGTTTGTAACAGCTAACTACAAAAACTAGCAGACTGATTTACAGTTTTTTGTAACATGGTCCTTGTCTTGAGATGGTTTTTAGCTATTGAAATTCTCCATCAGAGAAGTAGAAAGAAAGTTAAAAATATTTTTACCACGTTTAGAGAGTTTTCTAAGCATACCTAATATTGTTAAATCCTGATTTTACACTGTTGTTAGTATTCTTGAAAATACCATAGAAATAACAAACTTTGTCATTGCCAAAATATCACCAAGAAAACAATATTAAAATCCCCTTTTCATCAATTTTACATTCAATAATTGAATTTAAATATTGAAAATATTAATGTGTAATCTATGAGTCTCTTTCAAAAGTAGTGCAGGACTTTATTATTTTATAACGCTTTGTTTTACTTTGATGCTTTGAGTATTTTATAATGCTTTGAGTCTCAAGCGAATCTACGGGGGAGGGGAGGACTTTTGGGCTGAAGCTCTCCCCTCCCCCAAAAAAAATGATAAAGTATTACCGTTGTTTTATAGAAAAAAAATATTTAAAACTATCTCTGAAAGTATTATTGTTAGTGTAATTACATTTAATATGACTTCAAAAATCACTTAAACAACATTCCATAAAGGTAGTTAACTTCTTTCTCTTTTTTTTTAAAATTAATTATTGGTATATATATATTTATATTGTGTTTTCAGAAATGTTTTCGCTTTTATTATAATTATATTGTATATTTTAAATATACAATTTGTATGTATAACCAGTCATCTGAATATATACAGGGCTGGGGTAGCCGTGCGGGCTAAGGTGCTTGCAATAGGAAACCAAGTTAAGCAACGCTGAGCGTGGTTAGCACTTGGATGGGTGACCGTCCACCAGTGAAAGCAACGCTGCCCGAGAGCCCTCCCCTTGGTTTGTGAGACCTGTCAGACTACTGGAGGCAACTGACACCGACCGAGCATAGGACTGATGATCATACCCCCGTGTTCTTAAATCAGGAATCGGGATGTGGTCTAGAAGACCATATCTCGTGGTCAAAGATCTACAAGGTCTTCGGAAAAATATATATGTATATATATGAAAAAAAAATCTTTCAGGCTGCAGCCCCTTCTCCCCCCAAAAAAATTTAAATCCTGTATCCGCTAGTGCTTTGACTCGGCATACTGTTTCTACAAGGGATATTCATGTTCACCTAGGATATTAAAAAGAATAGGATATCCATGACAATAAGAAGAATTTTGGGACAAGTGTTTTCCAAGGGATTATACTAACTGAATTAAAAACATATTGAATTTTCATTAATTTATTTGCTTAATATTTCTACAATTCAAATATTACTTAATATAAAAACAACTTCAGAAATTAATTTAATATTGGGAGGAGAGATGGTGGTATTGCCTGGGATACCAAATGTGTAATTTCAGCACTGAATATTTCGCTGTAATCAAGTTAAAAAAATTTATATATTTTTTTTTATCTCAATGATTTGTGTCAGAGAACAAAATTTATGAGACTAGTTGTTTTTGAAATAAAATCTTGTTAAGGAAAATGAATTTTTACATGCTTAGGCAAAAAAGTAGATGTTATAATAAGTAAAATGAATCATGTCTGTCATTGCCAAGCCGCTGATTTCAAAAAATTTGGTGTGGCCACTCACACGACATTCCTTACTATTTCAGAAAAGTTTTTATATCTTTACATATGTCCATCAAGAAACAAAAAAAATTGAGTTAGATCTAGTTTCCTGAAAATTGATCAAAGAAAATATTTGAGTAAGATTTATTTGATAAACCAAAGCAATGTAAACCAGCTGAAGGTAGATCAGTGTAAAAATTTCAATACCCTCTAATAATTTCTGTTAATAGCGAAGCTTGTGTGATGCAGGAAACAAATTTTCTTAATTTCACTAAGTTATCTTTTTTCTCTCATTCATCCCTTTCTGACACCAGGATATGTACCCATAATCTTACATTGCAAATTGAATAGCTGTAACTTTGTTAATAGTTGTCGGAAATGAACGATTTTTATTTAGTTTTGTAGGGAATTTCATTACCTTTCTTAAAAAACCAAGCCAAACGGTGTTCCAGGCATTTCTGTCACAGGCATCAGTAGTCAAAATCCAGAAAAAAAAAAAAAAGAAGCAACAAAATCGGTTCAGTAGTTCCCGAGAAAATCTTGACACAGACAGACAGACCAATGGCTAAAAATGTGTTTTTCGAGCTCAGGGGATCTGAACGTATAGATCCTTCGAAAACCGCATATCGGAAATTTGATCCGATTGCAATACTTTCCTTACCTAGTATAGGTAGGAAAGTGATAAATTAAAACATGTGAAGAAAATAGAATACGCTATATCATCGCTAATACTGGTTCAATTCCGATGATTTTTTCTTTTGTTTTGTTGGTAATTTAATTACCTTTCAAAAGTTTTATTATAAATTTTACCATAGAATATATACTTAGCGAGTTAGGCCCCAAAACATTTTTCTTTTCTTTATAACTTTTTTTCCTGATTTGTTTTGGGAATTAGACCAGGCACGAAAATTTAAAAGACAATTATTAGAACATTATAGGAAAGTTTCATCAAAATTCGTTAGAGCCGTTTTCGCTCTAGTCTATAGAAAAATGTGTATTTAATTTATTGTGCATGGAACACCCAATTTCTGTCACAGGCATCAGCAGTAAAAACCCTAAAAAATAAAAAAAGAAGCAGCAAAATCGGTTAAGTAGTTCTCCAGAAAATCTTGGCACAGACACATCAATGGCTAAAAATGTGTTTTTGGACTCGGCGGCTCTGAAACGTATAGATCCTGCGAAAACCGCATATCGGAAATTTGACCTGATCGCAATACTTTCCTTACCTAGTATAGGTTGATTTAAAATGGATCTTACCATTTAATAGTGTTTTGAACATAAAGGTGAAGTTTTATGTTGAAGGCTGGTTCGTTCTCCAATAAACCTCATACAGGGCGACCATAAATGTACCTGTGTGGGTCGAATGGTTTAACAAAAACTACCCTAACCTCTTTCTACCAACCTGGATTAGGGTCTTCAATCGCCCTCCGATGTTTACTTAAATTTCTTAGTTAAAATTAGAGTATCAGTAAATAAAACTGATACACGTTGTAAAATTGACAACGTTTTGGTTTTGTATTATTTAATTGTTTTTCATAAATTTTCCACTTCATGAGTGTTGCGTAAACTTATTTATGCTTTATAAAAAACCACACCACACACGGAAACAATAGAAATAGAATGGACACAGAAGTTATCTCTAGTGAATTTGTAGGTCTCTAGGTTTCCTTAGCGTTATTCACTGGCGGATTTACGGAGGGGGCTTTCGGGCTGAAACTTCTCCCCCTTAAATGGTAAAATATAACCACGTTTTATGGAAAAATATATTAAAAAATTATCTCTTAAAGTATTATTGTTCGTGTAATTACATTTAAAAGGACTTAAGGAATCACTTGAACACCGCTTCATATAGATTGTTAGTTTCTTTCTTTTTTTCCAAAGTAATTATCGTAATTTTTATGAAAAAAAAAACTTTCGGGCTGAAGCCCCTCCCCAAAATTAAATCATGGATCCGCTATTGTCGTTATTTATTCCTAGGTTTTTATCTTCATTAGTGTCAAAATGTAAGACCCCGGATTCTCAAATGTCTGTTTTATGTCCTACTAACTACTCTACACAGTCATTCTAAGTTGTGAACATTAAGAATAATTGAAAAAAAATAATATGATAATAATAATAAGCATCAGTAATACATTACTTATTTATTAAAAATGTTCTTATTCAAGCTATTCGATTATGACAATTCATTCAGTATAACTATTTTTTATAAATATTACTGATAAGGGGGTTAAATATTGGTATTATATTTCTCTTAAATAAAACCTATTCGTACCACCTTGGTGTGAACATTTTAAGCACCTTCGTATACCAGGGACCATACATTCTTCTCACGTTTTTCTTTTTTTCAGCGCTCACATCCTGCTCCCGACTTCCATACCGAGCAGCAATGCAACTACTAAAAATTATGTGATCCCTACTACGAACCATGGTAAATTTTATTATTTTTTTTATTTGAAAAGATGTTTGTCAAGAATACAGGCAACAACATTTATGTAAATAAGTAATGTAGAACAGACCATTTTGCTGGATTGGTTATTTCGACTCAAGAGACCTCAAAACATGTATTTCGGTTGAAAATTCAGATTCAAAAATTTTCACGATCGCAATATTTTCTCTTGCTATGTCTTTCATATATCGTTAAGTGAATGTAAAAATGATAGATGAATAAACATTTTTTTCTTTGTTTTCCTGCCTTTGTTAGACACATTTATATAACAATTTCTCAGGTAGATTACTGCATAGCATATTTTAATATGTTATAAATTAATGTTCACATAATTATTTTTAAATTATAATTTTATGATTAATATTATTAAATAAATTTGTAGAAAAATAACTCAACATGTTGGTGTTGAATAGAATCTTCTCATGGAAAGAATTAATGGACGCTAGCTAATGATATGTGGGCGATGCCATTGACCTTGGGGCTAATAACCATTCTCCGTTTCGTTGACTTTAAAACTGTTAGTTTATACTTTTTCTATTTTTCTTTTTTGTTTTGTTTTGCGAAACAGCACGAAATTGAAGTGAGCCAATTACAAATGTAAATATTATTTATTTTCTTTGATCCGTGATAATTTCTTATTTTTTCCAGTTTAAAATATAATATTTTTAACACCAGTATACCATATTAATCTTTATGTTAACCTTGAGGAGGATTAACGAAAAGGTAAAATCAACTATATTTACTCTTAATTTAATCATTTCAAGAAATAAATATTCGTCTTCCATCACTAGTACTGAACTATCCAAGCCACTAGATTTTCTGTGAGAAGCCTGTACGAACATTTA